AAAAAATATAATATATACATATTTAATGTTAATTATTTTACTGCTAATAAAAATAAAAAAGAAACAGAAACAGAAACGAGCGGTAGTCAGACTCTTTAAGCAAAATCTGGGTCAGTATTAATACCGAAATAAAGGGAAAAAATTAAACATTTGCAAAAACACTTGAGAATTTTAGATTGCAAATACTTGTAAAGATTTCACTGGTCTACAGTGGTTCTGTTGCTCTAGATATAAGATCGGCTAAGAAGAAGAGAAAGAAGTAGAAGATTTCCTCGTGTTTATTTTTAAATATTTTCTCATTTTACGTTACAAAAATCCGGAAATAACAAGCAAAATTGTGTATACATATAGTAGTTTATAGAGTTTAGTTTTCGAAATTAAGAATGCATTGAGGTAAACACAGAAGAAAATATGTTTTATCTCAATTAAAAGCCTTTCAAGAAGTTTTCCATTATAAATTTCCAGGTGGCAATCCCATTCGCATCAACCTTGCCACCATTCTTCCACCACTTTTAGTTCCAAGTGAAACCGCGTCCCCTGTTTCTCATTATAATTATCTGAATTAACCGAAAATGTTACCAAATAATTGCGGATGTAACTTGAAACTCATATTTTCTCCTAGCAATTTTATTACTAACGAGCCTTTAACACCGGTAAACACGATTTTTGTGTCTGACTTCTGCATGTGAAATTTCTTCTCCTACAACAAAAATAAACGGGAAATCTTTTTTATTAAATTTTGCTTTTGTAGCATTTTTTCCTATTTTTTTTCATGTTCGTATGAACAAATCAGACCCATTCGCATCAGGCGAAAGTAAACTTTAAGAGCTAAAATTAAAATCGTTTTTCAACGTCTAGAATCAGAATTAGAACATGAAAATAGAAACCGAAAAAAATTTTTTTTTGTTGACCAGTGTACAAAAAAATATTTGTTGACCAGTGTAATTTTTTTTGGTGTAATATAAAAAACCATAATATAATAAAAGTAAAATCACATTCAATACATTCATGAATCAATCCTGAATCTGCACAGTTTAATCCATCGAAATTTGCTAAGATACCCAGGGCAACAACAAAAATAGTCTGATTTTTTTCAGATATCTAGACACATTTCAATATTTTCAGTTAATTGTACAATACTCTTTGCACATTTACTAGCATTAAATTTGATATACAGGGTGTCGAAAATTGTAAGGAAAATATTAAAATATAAAATTAAAATTTTCTAAAAAAATACAAGTAAAAAACATTACATTTAAAAAAAAAAATTTGTATTTTATATTTTTGTACCACAATAAAAAATGTGAGTCTACAACCCATCATTTTTATTATACTCAAAATTTTACATTTTATCGCTAATTGCCTGCAAGATTTATCATATTGGGTAGACGAAAAAGTTTCTTCGTATTCTGTCAATATTAATATCACAACAAAATTTTCAAAAAATAAAAAAGCGAACCAATCCACTAATTATTGTTATATATTCATATGCGTTTAAAATTGGAAAATTCATATTGCTTGCTTTTATTGTTGCTAATGTTTGTTGCGCTCAGCTAATATGTATAGCTGTTGACCTCATTAACCCACTTAACTGCATATTGCTCATATGGTTTTGTGGCAATATGACTATGAGTATACATAAACAGAGTTTTTGTATAAAAATTTTGAATGCTAAATTATAAAAAAATGTGCAAAATGAAAAAAAATTAAAAAAATATTTTTGACAGGAAAAAACAATGAAATTCGGGAGACAAAAAACGAAACATTTAGAACAAGCAGAAGCAGCGACTGCGAAAAAGAGAAATGACCACCGCAATAGACCCAGACATAACTGAAAAGTTGCACAGTCCATAATAATAAATGCTAATTAATGTTTAGTGATTAATTTGAGTGAACAGATCAGCATGAAATATGCAAAATAAAATATGTTTCTCATTAATTACGGCTAAAATGCAAGAGCAAACAGTAAATGGTTTATTGCCTTGAAAAAATTAAAAAAACAAAAATTGAAGAATAAAAATAAAGATGTGCAAACAGCTGCTTTTGAGCGTTTCTCGTAGTTTGCCAAGCGCTTGAGTTTCTAGCGTTCAAAGAAATAAAAAATAAAAGCAAGAAGAGCACTATCTTAATTCTTCGATTTAATATCCGTTTGTCTAGCTGCAACCAAAATAGAAAACCTTAAATAAAATCAATAGCAAATTGCCATTGAAAGATTTTAGCGCAAAGCCGGCGAAGGTCGCCAATAAAGCTGAGTGAGAGAGACGTTTGTGCGTTGATTGATTTCATGATTTAAAAGTGATTGAGAGCTATGAATTGAATTTAGCAATAACGGAAATGAATGCGAAGTAGTAAGTGAAGTATATTTTTTTAGTGAAATTAAAGCAGTAAATAATTTTTTATAAATATTTTATTTGAGGATGATAAAAAAATATTGGAAAATATTCTTTTTTAGTGAAAATTAGAATTTATATGCTCTTAAATGGCAAGAAGAAGATAAATGACAAGTATAGTAACAATAACCAAAATTATTATTACGTCTTAATTAGGTATTTATACGCATATAATTCGTGCTTACGTAATAATTAAGCGCTTACAAAGATAAATATGACATAGATGTACTATGTATTTAAAATTAAAAAATAGAAAACATGAAATGACTCAGATCTTAAAAATTAAAACTTTACTAAAAATATTTATTTTTTAATCAAGATTGTTTTTTTATGAAAATATTTATATTTCAT